CCCCCGGCCCCCGCGCACGTGGAGGCCCCGGCGCGGCCCTGGGGGTCGTGCGCGCCTCCGCAGCCCGCGCTTGCGGGGCCCCCCACGAGCCCCCCTCCAGCCAGTCTGGGGGCTCCTCCTCCAGGCCCAGACACTCCCCTGCGCGCCCGTCTGAGACGCGGGGCCCCCCACCCGAGTCTAAGACGAGCTCCCCCTGCTCCAGTCTAGGACCCTGGCACATAAACAAGCTGCTCCTCGTGGGGCCGAACTAGCCCCGCTCTCGTCTAGGCCGGGCCCGGCCCCGGCTAGGCTAAACGAGCTCTGCCGCCATCCAGTCTCAAGGAGCTTCGCCAGGAGCCCTCTCCCTGCTCGGGTCTAAGATGAGCTTGTCTGAGCTCCCCCCGTCCGGTCGAAACGAGCTCCTCCTTTGCGGGTCTAAATGAGCTCTTCCTTTCTTTGCACGGGGAGAAGCGACTGTTGCCAGCCGCCAGCGGAGGTGGGTGCTGGTCCTGTCTGCTGCCCGGGAGAAAGTGCCACCATAAGGAACTGCAGTTTAGGTAACAATACTGCAGGTTTAGGTGCTGGTCATGGACCTGAACTGAGAAGAGAAAATGCCTCCCACCCACAGCACTGTGCAGCCAGTCACGTACTCGGTTCCTGTAGCTGTTCGGGGGGTTGAATGAAACCTCTCCCCTCCTTCCATGGACAGAGAAGTCTTCCACAATCCTGGTTGGCAGCTTCACAGTCTGACATCCTGGAAATGGACATCGCCAGCTAATTCAGGTCGTGGTTTCTCTGCGGGATCACGCGAGACGAGGCGAGGGGTTGAGAAGCATATCTGCGTTCAAATGTAGTGGATCCCAAGCCTGCTTCACCATCCACATAATTGCACTGAAGTTAGTGAGGTTGGGGGGTGCCCGGTCCAGGCAGAATATAGCTTAAATGACTCGACAAAAATATCGCATTGAATGTGATTTAGCCAGGGGGTTACTTTGGTGGGAACAGACTGCTTCCAGTACTAGCAATGCAGACTCTAGAGTCGAATCAAACTCGGCAGTTATTCCACCACAGAAGGAGGCTGAAGAAGCTCGAGCACTCTGGCTTACTCTCGAGCTCCTCCAGCGGCGTACCAAAGGAAAGCACGTTCACTCAGACACGGTTCCACTAGAGAGAAATAATGCAGCACCAAAGCACTCAGAGGCTGCTACCTGCCTCTATCCACCAAAGCAACCATGCCTCTCTTCAGTCTGATACAACAGAAAACTTGGTGTGAAAAAGTGGGAAATAAAGAGAATTACAATCATAGGAACTGAGGGTGTGAAGGGAGCTCAGGAGGTTGCATCTAGTCCAACCCCTGCTCCAAGCAGGACCAGCCCCAACTATGTCATCCCAGACAAGGCTTTGTCTACATGGGTCTTCAAAACCTCCAAGGATGGAGACTCCACCACCGCTCTCGGTAACCTGGTCCAGTGCTTCGCCACCCTTCTAGGGAGAGAGTTTTTCCTAAACTTCCCTTGCTGCAGCTTGAGCCCATTGCCCCCACTGGGAACAGTCCAGCTCCATCCTGTTTGCGACCCCCCTGCAGGGAGTTGAAGGCTGCTACCAAATCCCCCCTCGGTCTTGCCTTCTCCAGACTCAATCAGCCCAGTTTCCTCAGCCTCTCCTCCTAAATCCTGTCCCCCAACCATTTTCATTGCCCTCTGCAACAATGCATTCATCACTCACTAATACCTACATGAATAAGGAAAAAATGAGCATTGTCCACACACACTGTGGTTTTGAATATGAAATGTGTTTTGTTGGCGTAAATTTTCATTCTGCAGCGAATCTGCATGCAATCAAGTCTCTGCTCCACGCTATCAGTGTCTGATTTTTTTTCTGAAGTAGCTCTAAAGCGAGTGATTCCTCCTCTCCCCCCAGTCCTGGTTCTGTTCCACTGGAGAACATGAGGACCTCACTTGCCTATTAGACAGAGAAAGTAAATCATTGCTTTATGCTGAAGACAGTGAACTGGGATTTGTGGGGGGTAACATGGTACCACGATGCTGACTCCTTATGCTTACAAGAAACTCTCCAGAGTAAAGTGCATCTCAGAGCAGCAGGATATTTTAGACATTTTAGACAAGGAAGGTAGGAGGGAACTCTGAATGACTGAGATCCAAGTGACGCGACGTGCAAAAGATCTGTGCTTGGTTATGGGCCTATTCACCACTGTGGTGCACAAAGCAATCAGGCTGAATCTGGCACCAAGACTAGTTGGAAGCCCATTCATTTACCTGGTCGCAGGACAGCCCTGGTGTGCTTCCTCTCACAGCTGTGCCAACGAATGCCCATGCTGTTCCAGCCTAGAGCTAGTGCTTGTCAGCCGTGCCAACTTGGGTCCAAGGTCCGATCAGAATTTACACTGCATTGTGTAACTGCGCGGCAGGGTGAAGGCATCTCTTCTCGGGAGAAACGGAGGCCTTGCATCCTCGGGGCTGCCCGCTCTCAGTTGAAGCAGCCCAGAATCCGTCTGCTGCCTCCTGGTTTATACATTGAATGGAAGAGCCTTGGGACAGGGCTTATGTTCACTGCCCAGCGCCACGGGCTTCTGGGACAGTGAACACATCCAAAAAGAAATAAAAATAACAACACAATTCCCCAAACATGGAAGCGCAAAAAGAGATAGTTGACTCAATTAGCTTGAAATTACATTAGCTTTAAAGTGCAATAGTGATTGTAGATGAAGCAGGGTTTCTTTTACATATCAGAGTTTTATAAATAGTCAAGTATATATAAATATACTTAAACTATACTTAAATATACTTAAAGTATCTATAAATATACTTATAACTAAATATAAATAGACAAGTATATAAACAGAGAACATGCTTGTGTTTCTCTGCTTGAGGTTGTTTTTAAATTCTATTTATAAATATCGAAACCTCCGTTATCATTGTTTGAAGTTGCTCGGTTGTACCGTATATCGTTTGGCCTCTCTGAGGATCTAATCTGAACTGTGTTAGTACTACAGACGGAGCTAGCAACCGCATCTGCCATTAAGGTTCCCTACAACTTCTCATGAAAAAACCCTGGCTTTAATGTTGCCAAACTTTAACTGTTCGGACTGACATTGTCCTGGCTGGTGTCTGCCTCGCGCTACATTTTTAGAAAGTTTCATCAAAAATAGTTCTGCCACTTCAGAGAACAATGTTATGGGAAAAGATGTTGTTTTGCCAGCGTTACAAAATGTTCACGTTGGTGTTGTTAATAAATTGCAGAAACGCTCTGGAGCATGGATGTGAAACTTGATGTGTGTGTGTCTTGTGTGTGTTGTGGGGATGGGGGAGCCTGTTGGGAAAGGGTAAAGGAGGTGCTTTTGCTGTGCAAATCCACCCAAATCCAGTTGATCTACAAGTCTCTGAAGATTACCATTGTGTACGTTCAGTTTGTTAGAGTCCAGCCTAAATTTCTGAGCACTGCATCTGTTTGGAGCATGCGTCAGTTGAGGGCTGAAGGTGCTCATAGGACTTTCTCCTGCCTCTGCTGCTTCTCTCCATCCCGGCTCGTGGCGGTGCTGGATAACAGCGCTGACAGCAGGGAGAACTCCCCTTTTCAAACTCCTCCATAGTGTCCCGTGGTCTTACCAATTTGGCAATTTACTCTAGGGATCTAGCAGCTTTCGGGAGATCCTAGCAACAAACTGTTGTGTCAAGGCTCCCGTATCTGTTTGCTGGGTGTGATGACTGGGAACATTTTGACTAGAAGGTCTGTCTAGGAGTGTCAAGCAGCTTTTTGAGGCATATCTGGCAAATTCCTTCTTTCAGGACTTGGCAGCAGTACTGGCTAAGCCTCATGGAGACAAAGGAGGTTTGACTTGAATGCAGAGGTGTGACAACCAGGGCAGAAGACAAGATGGGACTAGGTTGATGGGGCGAGATATGGAGGCAATAGAAAGAGAACAGGAGTGGGGCAGGGACAGTCTGGCATTAGGGGAAAAAAGGGTGGCTCAGGGATCATAACAACCTTATCTTGATTAACTGCGTTACATCCATGCTGTACGCTGAAGGAGGCTTGGCACCCGCGGGGGGCGGGGGGGGAGGGGATTGAAGTGCATGGCCACGTTATTAAAGACTTCCGCCTAGTGCATATGGATAAGAGGGCTAGACTGAGGTTGCATAGGCACCCCTGACATTGGCGTTTCCCAACTTCCGAGTGCTTGGCTTTGCAATTCAAATATACACCGTTTTTAATATTCATAATACAAAAGTGCCGCCAAATCCCAGGCCCTTTCATGCTGAGCAATGTACCAAAGACACAGCCTCTGCCCTGAAGATCTAGCAGGGTTAAAGTTTTACTTACACAGAATGTAGTTGGAAGTTTATGAATCAACCACAGCTGGGTTTCCCCCCCTTTTTTTAATATGTAGATGGTAGAACTTCTACCAGAATTCGAACACCCACATTTATGTATTTTTCTCGTTAGATCGTCGAGGAGCTTGAAATATCAGGAGGTCTGTGTCAGGTGGCCCACACAGATCGAGTGACTTGCAACACAATACAAGGAACAGTGGCAGCTTAATGTTTAGTGAAACCGATTTTGCAGCTGATAATTAACTTTAGGCCCTACACAAACTGTAAGGAGCAACAGGCCTTTCACATTTTATAGAAGTAATGTATAAAATGACCTCTCGTTGTTTAGGATACAAGCCTCGGAAGGAGAAACTAACTTGATGTTTCACTGGTGACGTGGAAAAATTGTGTTTTATTTTTAATCCTCTAAATTGGCCTAAAGAAATAAACTTCAAAGGACTTTGGGGGGAAAAAATAAGACTTGGGCACTTTAGCTACTAGAACACAGAGTTTGCTTGAATATGAAAGGCTTAATAACTGTCTGCTTTGCGCCTCAGACGTGTCATCTTGTCAGGATTACATTAAACGTTGAAAACTACAGAAAACTTCAAAGATGCTTCTGAGGCCACTGCTCTCTGTCTTTTCCCATTAGCAAGTGAAAAATGGGTCTCCCAAATTGCAGCAAGAAGGCCAGATACAGCACAGTGATCTAAAGTCAGTCACAGGCCCCAACCTGCAGTGCTCCCTCGCCATGGGGGGGGGCCTAACACTTCATGTTGGGAGCTGCAATCTCCATGGGCCGTACTTGGTGATTGCAATGAATTCCTTCTGTGGAAGCTGCCATCCGTGGCAAGTCTGAGCGACCCCAAAGGAAGAGCTGGATTCAACCTGCGCTGAAGCCAGTGGAAGGAATCCCATTGGCTTTGCTGCAGGCCCAGATGGATAATGCAGTGTAGCACTAGCTAATCAATGCATTAAACTTCAGGACTTAGAGGGCCTTTCTTCTCCAGAGCAGCTCAAAGAGAGGAAACTAAAGCCATCTACTCATGCCACATTTTCTCCCATGTTTCCCCTTCATTATAGCTGCCCCTGCTGTTGTACATGTCTGATAAATTTGGCAGGTCTCAGGCAAGCAAAAGAGGCCATTTTCGCCATATTCCAGATCCACTGAAGTAACAAACAGTCCCATAACTGAGCACAGATCTGCGCATGGTGTCACTTCAACCTCAGTAATTCAGAGTTCTCTCCTATCATCCTTATCTAAAAGATCCTGCTGCTTTGCGACACCGTGGTTCAAAAAATGCACAGCAATAAGGATGGAATCGGCTAGTCCAAGTGGTAGGTTTTGGCGCTGAGCTCAGACAATGGTTGAATTTAGTTTAATTGCTTTTCTTTTAATGCAGGCACATATTCCAGTGATTTCCCCCCTAAGAAAAACCAAATTGTTTGTTCAAAAGAGTAGATTTAAGTTATGTGACTCTAACTTACCAATATCATTTAATAAGCTAGAAGCACTTAAAATAGGCCAGTTCTAAAAATCTATTGCCTTTATAACCATCTGCTCAGGACAGAGAAGTCTCCTTAGGGTACAGAGCACGCTTGCAAATTTTCACCACGTCTTCTTTTCATTGCGTTCCATGCATCATCATGCCATTTGGAGTTCCTTGTAGGTGAGGTGGATCGATCATCAAACTCCATTTCTACTCTATACTCTGTGCATTATCTATCTTTGCTAAGAGATTTTAAAGATACTGTCTCTAGAGGGTTTGGTGGTTGACTTGATGTAAGAGGTCTATACGGAGGCAGAAAAGAGGTACTTGGATGGAAGAACTGGACATCTGAGACGCTTGCAAATTTTTAATCTACCTGATGCAAAATCAATTTATAACTTCCCACTGTACAGGCATAATTCCTCAGGGTCTCCCACTAGCTTCATTCAACCCTAGGCCTAACCCTACACCTTGGGAAGAATAATCAGAAACACAAACATAAAATGGGTGAGACCTGGCTAGATGGCAGTTCTGTGGGAAGGGATCTGGGAGTCATAGATCACACGCTCAGTATGAGTCTGCAGTGTGATGCAGCCACACAAAAGGTGAATGCAGTTTTGGGATGCATCAATAAAAGCAGTAGGTGCACAACATGGAAGGTGTGAGTGCCTCTATACTTGGCACTGCTTAGGCCTCATCTAGATACTGTGTAATTCTGGGCTCTGCATTTTAAAAAGGACAGGAAGAAGTCAGAGAGGGTCCAGATAGGGCAACAAAAATGATCAGGGGCTTCGAAAGCAAGTCAAACGAGGAGAGGCTGAGAGAGCTGGGCATGTTCAGCTTCAGGAAAAGGTGCTTCAGAGGGAACATGATAGTGGCCTTCAAACACTTGAAGGGTTGCCATAAAGAAAAGGGAAAGTACCTTTTTTCTCTTGCTGCAGAGAGGAGGATGCGGACCGATGGCTTGAAGTTGCAGCAAAGCAACTTTAAATTGAAGATCCAGAAAAACCTCTTTGCTGTGAGAGCAGCAAGGCAGTGGAATAGACACCTAGTGAAGCTGCGGACTCTCCATCACTGAAGAGGTTCAAGAAGAGCTTGGACAGCTACTGGTCAGGGCTGATCTAGGTGTAGCAATGCCCAT